CGCCAGCCCCGCGCGGGCTGGAGGATGCGCCATCCGCTCCGCACCTCGGAGTTTCCGCGGGTCCCAGTGCAGAAGAAAGCGGGGCCAGGGGACCTGTTCTTTGGTTTGTTCCTGCGGAGATACCGCCTGGGCCAGGCGCGTTTCCCTCCCCGCGCCTGCCGCATCGCCTCCCGCCCCGTCGCAGCTGCAGAGCGAGCGCGGGCGCGGATAAACTGGGGGCCGAGCTGCTTTTCTCTCCCCGGACCGAGCGATTGCACCTCTGAGCCTTAGTTCTCAGATGTTGAACGTGGGACTAAGTCAGAATCTTAAAGGCTTGTTGAGAGCATTAAATAGCTTATATTAGAGCATAACTAAACCAGCAGTTACACCGGAGCTAGTAACTATTGCAGAGAGACAGGTAAGAGCTGTTATTTTTTACTCTTTTCTAGCTGCAACGTTCATATATACAATGTTTGTATTTAGTTAATTTAAGTTTTATCATGGAAATTTTCGAACAGAAAACAGAGAGATAGGTATAATAAACCTCCGTCTTGGACCCATCACCTGCTTCAACAGTTATCACCATTATGGTGATTTTCATGTATCTCCCCACTCAGCTCTTTTTGTATTGGTGTATTTAAAGCAAGCCCCAACATCATATTTTATGTTTACATATATATCTCTAATAGATAGAGACTTATAAAGGAAAACCCTAACCACTCACAATTTATGAATTTTATCAGGGATTAGAAAAAAATAATTAAAAACTTTTTTCTATTGATTAGTGGGACAATGGATGGATTTTTTTTTTTTTTTTTTTTTTTTTGAGAGAGAAAGAGAAAGAGAGGAAGGGAGAGGGAGGGGGAGGGAGTAGAGAGAGAGAGAGAGAAACATCAGTGTGAAAGCGAGACATTGATCGGCTGCCTCCTGGATGCCCCAGCCAGGGCATCGAGCTCGAAACCGTGGCATGTGCCCTGACCAGGAATCAAACCATCAACCTTTTGGTGCAGGGGATGATGCCCAACCAACTGACCCACACCGCCCAGGGCTGGGTGAAACTTAAATAAGCTTTGTGGATTAGACAGTAACATATCTGTAATAATTTCCTGATTTTGATTATTGTATAACAGTTATGTAACGTTTTAGGAACTACATGCTGAAGTACTGGGGAGTAAAAGGGCATTATATTTGTAGCTTACTGTAAAATGGTTAAGAAACAAGTTATCTATATTCAAGAAACAAGAATATCTATATTCTGTTAGATTCTAATTCTGATTCTGATGTGCAGCCAGGGTTAGGCAGTTTTAGCAACCAGTGAAGATCTTCCCCTAGCCTAAAAGATTTTAACAATCTCTTTTAAAGAGAGCTTTTATAACAATTAAATTCCCTTAACACTTTCAGCCCTGGCTGGGTAGCTCAGTTTAGAGTGTTGTCCCGTTACACCAAAGTTGTGGGTTCCATTGCTGATTGGGGCACATACAAGAATCAACCAATAAATGCTGCAGGGAGGCTCAGAGATGCAATATGTCTCCAGCAGTAAAGGCAGCTGGGAAGTGTTGGACTCTGTGACTGTTTAACTCTCTGTAGCCTCAGGTTTGGCTGAGCACCCGGAAAGCTGGGCTACCGCCCAAAGATAAACAACACACCCAGGAAGGAGGTTAATGAATGCATAGAGTGTGACAGCTGTCAGACGTTACCTGCTAACATAGAAATGCATTGTCCTTTCTGGTGGCCTATGTGACTACCCATCACATGGTTTTACCATTAACCCCCTATAAAAAAAAAGGCCTTTTCCTGGGAGGGGCTGGATTTATTCCCAGCTGGCCACTGCTGGAAGCAAGCAGCTGCTTTGCCGTTTATGTAAGTTTTTCCTATTAAGCTCTTATGAATTTGAATAAGCTTATGTGTCAGTTCTTTGGAATCGATCCTGAATTTAGACTTTTTGGGCTTCCCCTCAACAAATGCATAAGGAAACGAAACAACAATTCAGTGTTTCTCTCCTTTTCTTTCTCCCTAAAATCAATCAGCCCAGCCCCTGTGGCTCAGCTGTTGAGCCTATACCTATGAACCAGGAGGTCACAGTTCAATTCCAGGTCAGGGCACATGCCTGGTTTCGGACTCCACCCCCAGTAGGGGGCGTGCATGAGGCAGCTGATTGATGATTCTCCCTCATTGATGTTTCTGTCTCTCCCTTCCTCTCTCTGAAATCAATAAAAACATATTTTTAAAAATAAATAAAATCAATCAATCAATAAAAATGAAAGAAAAATAAATTCCCTTAACACTTTCAAACTATGCTTACAAATAGAATATGTTAGATTTTTTCCATTTATAAACTATGGTAGGCTTAGTTACCAGAAGAATCTTTCCTTAGTACTTAAAATTAAGTTTTATGAAGCTAAAATGATAAACTTATGTGGCAAATCTTATATTCCATTATTTGTTCCAATAGTGTACATAAATAGTAAGATTTCAACTCAGAGTAAGTCTTAGTCACTAACTGGATTCCATATTTTTTTATTATTATTGATTTTAGAGAGAGGAAGGGAGGGGGGAGAGAGAGAGAAACATTAATTGCCTGCCTCCCCTATGCACCCCGAACGAGGGTCAAACCCACAACCTGGGTATGTGCCCTGACCAGTCGAACTGGTGACCTATTGGTGCGTGGGATGCTGCTCAACCAACTGAGCCACACCAGCCAGGGCTGGATTCCACATTTTAAATTGGAATTATAAGACTGACTGTTATTTGAATAGGCCCATGTATCTTATATCTTACAAATACTTAAAATACTAAACATTCAGATTTCCTAACACATAAAGTTAACACCATGGTTTTGACTTAAATATTTCCTTATCTAATTTTTATTAATTCAAAACTTTCTGCAGGTTAGATGATGGTTGCCCTCAATGTAAGATGCTCAGCGTGGCACCATCAATTACCAGGGAAATGAAAATTTAAACCACAATCAGATACCACAATATGACTAATGACTAAAATGGCCAGAATTAAAAAGATTGATCATATGAAATGCTGGTGAGGATGTGGAGCGATTGTAACTCCCATACATTGCTGGTGAAAATGCAAAATGGTGCACCCTGTGTACTGATCTGGGTGCAATCAAGAGAGAGAAACTACCTACTAGGTTAAACAGGGAAGTTTAATATAAAGAATTATTAACTGTGATAAAATAGTAACTATAAGATATAAGGAAACCCTAGATGGCACCCTAGGGTTGAGGGAAGGCACCAGAGGAATGAGGACTTGGGAAGGGGTTTAAACCTTGTTGGAGACGTGGTTTTGATACCGTTGTAATTAACTAGTTAATAATAATAGGAAAGGGGCAACGGGAAGGCCAGGTATTATAGGCATGTCATTTGGGCAGACCCCCCACGGGACTCCCGGGCCGCAGCCAGCCTGATACCGAGCTGGACCCGCCTCCAGCGTGGGCAGCAAACTCCGGACGCCGGCTTTGCTTCTGGCTCTGCTGCAACCCCAGCTACACTTCAGTGACTGGACTAAGGGAAATGGGGCTTGAGAAACTCAGGAATTTAATCCCACACAAATAAAAATCACTCACACTCCTCTGAGAGTCTCAGAAAATTCTTTTTCTTGGGACATCATAAGGACTCCACCCCAGCAGCGCCCAGTGGGGAAGAGGACCCCAATTTTCTCTGATAATAGTTTGGTCACCAGATAGTAGAGATGAGACGTT